CCCCAAAACCCCAAAACCCCAAAACCCCAAATAGCTAAATATACTAGAATAAATGATAAAAATTAATATCTAACTCTAAAATACTTGAAATTAACACAAGCTCAAATATACTTAGTAACGGTTGGTGAGTTACTAGCAAACTTATGAGGTGATTAATAACCTACATGTGCAAATACATCGACTCAAATGTTAAAATTCTGATTGCATTAGACTTGAGAAGTCTAATTTATCTGGCTCAAATAGATATCATTTTCATCAAGTCTAAAGAATTTCTGCTCAAACCTTGAAATCTAATCATTAATGTCTCTGTTGTGATAGAACTTGTCTCTCAAGTCAACTAGGATGTCAATTCCGTTGTAGGCATTAAAAATTTGCAAGTAACTCATGTCTACATTCTGAGGCTCCACTGATTCATCATCACAGTCATAATTCTTGGTATCTCTGACTAAGCAATACTCAATTAACTCGACTCCCAGTCTGATTATACTGGCATTTTATTCATTCATAAGCAGCTGCAGAATCTATGGGATCATCTCATAGTTATTAATCAAAGCTGCTTTGTATTCCTAGCCTACATACATTAACAGATTTGCAAATAGCAAGATGCTCTCCTTCCTTAGTTTCACATCATTGCAAGTAATATACCTCGCATATCTATCTAAAATAGCTTAAGGTTCTAATCCTGGGACTGTTTAATCTTCAAATATTTGCTATCCGTGGCTGAACGATGTTGAGCACACTAAATTATTAAGAATCTCGCATATCTAGACATCAAATTCTGAGCAAAAGTGAAGAGCACTGGGGTTGTTCCAGTTCAAGAATTCAGCGATAAAAGATCTGAGACCCATTTCCAAGAAAAACTGAATATCCCCTTCTTCATCTGAACTAAGAAGGTTATTCACAATAGTCAGAATCTTCCTCATTCTTTCAAAGGCTTTTGAGCTCCACTAAGCAAGATACATTCTCTTGGTAGAGTTGTAAATCCAACTAAAAAGTTGGTAATTGTCCTATAGACCGCATTTTTAGTCATACTCAGCGAATCTTCTGACACATTAAGCATTGCCCTAAGCATCTGTCAAGTTCAATATGCATTCTAAAGCATTTTCAGTGGCATCAGCATCATCTACAGAGAGATTAATTCAATACTACTTACTTTTTGTATTTTAGGGCAGATAGAGCAACTTTACTATGAATGGTATTAGCAAGTCAGAGTCTACTTGCCTACTGAATTGAACATCGAAAGTTTGTGTAACAGCATGTAAGAACCAAGATGCAATATCAATAAAAGTCTCATTTGAAGTGATCATAGAAAAATTGAGAATCTGAGAAAATTAACCAAGGATGTTGAACTTTAATATTTCCTATTAGATGTTATAATATTGAGAATGAATTTTCTTACCTTTCTACATTTTCCATTGTAGCAAGCAAGGTTACTAAGCATTGTAAGGCAAGAGCATATGATACTGCCTAAATATTTTATTTCATTTTCATTTATTTATGCTCTTTGTATTGCATTGATGACAACTTAGAAGATTGATGAAACTCTGCCAATGATATTTGCCTGCAAGATATCTTTCTCTTATATTTCTCCTGCACCACAGATGTCTTCCATAAACCATAAGATATTTGCCTTTATGTTGAATTAATATTAAAAAGATCTTACAAGCAGTGGATGGTAAATCTAGCTTTGCAATTTGTTTAGGATTTGGGAAATGCTGATAGCAAGTCCCTCTTGGTGAATAAAGGTAAATGCCAGCATTAACTCATCTATCGATCTGGGCAGATTCTATCTAATATTATCCAAAATATCTGATAGTATATCGAAGTTTGCGTTCATTTGCACAGCTTTATTGAAGTCGGAAACCAAACTAATCTATTAGGTAATGAGAATATCTCTAAGTTATTATTACAAATTGAGACTCATGATTTGATTTTGGCTAGAGATAGCTTTTTAAAATGTTATCAAACTCAGCTTTATAAAGATGCTGCATGTTCAGACTAATATTCTCTTTGTCAACCTGACCATTAAATCCTCGATCCTTATTGACTTAGAGGCTAGAGTTTTGAGTAGCAAACTAAGATGTGAAGTTCTTGAGTCTTCTCTTGGTAATAATTTGCTCTTTCTTGCTCTTCCTTAAACTCACTGCAAATTATTCATTCCTCTAGCAAGCTTACAGCTTACTTGAGTCTCCTGAGTTTTCTTAAGTATTAATTAGCAATTCCTAATGACTTACAGTTCATCAGATAGGACAAAGCTTTGGTATTTTACTCATATTAGAAGGGATTTAACTAATTGGGGGTTTTGTTTTTGGATTAAAAAGGCATAAGAATCACAGTAGACTGATTGTTTTGAGTCATATTTATAATTAGGTTTGTTTAAAATTATTTAAATTTGAATTTAAATAGATTTTACTCTCCATTACCTCCATTTGATTACCTTTTTATGGGGTTTTGGGGTTTTGGGG